CCCAGGCGGGTCTCGATCCCGCGGGCTCAGGCCATCCACTCACCTCAGCCTCCCAAAGGCGCGGGATGACAGGCTGAGCCACCGAACCTGGCTCAAAGCATATTTTAAGAGTAAAATTGATACTGTCTATTTAAGAGGATGAAGTTCAATATGTCAATATGATAGAGTAACTATGCAGCTATTAAAAACCATGCAGTTAAAGAATATTAAACCCCATGGGAAAAAGTAGTTAAAGAATATCACATCACATGGGAAAACAGATGAAATGTTAAAGTTTTACAAAGCAGGATACAGATTAATCGTATACACTATGATTCCAATTTTCCAAAGCATGTACTTAAAACTAGCCCTTCTCCTCTCAATGAATTTAAATATACTTAGGTAAGTTATAAACCAAAGATTAGCAAGATACAGGTATCATACTTTTCTGTATTATACAAATGTCTTCTTTTATAATTAGAAAAAAATCATTTTACCAAAAAAAAAAAAAGTGTTTCAGCAAAGGCTGCTGGGAAAGTTTTATATCCACATATCAAGAAAATGAATTTGGAGCCATATTTCACACCATATACAAAACTTAACTCTAAATGAATCATGGACCTAGACGCAAAGTCTAAAATTATAAAACTTCTAGAAGAAAACAGGAAAAATATCTGTGGCATTCAGTTAGTAAAAAATTCCTTGGTGACAACAGCAAAGGCACAGCCCATAAAATAAACAAATAGCTAACCTGGACTTCATCAAAATTTAAAACATCTCTTCAAGAGACAATATTAAGAGAATGAAAAGACAAGTCACTAGAACACTAGAACAAAATTTTTGCAAAGCATATATTTGATAAATAACTTGTGTGCAGAATTTTAAAAACCCCACAACAAAAAACCCAAACAACCCAACTTAAAAATTAAGCAAAAGTCCCGAACAGACATTTCAACAATGAAAATATGTAAGTGGCAAAAAAGCACACGAAAAGATGTTCAACATGACTGATCATCAGGGAAATGCAAATTAACACCACAATGAGGTAACACTACCCATCCATTAGAATGACCAAGACGAAAAAGACCGAATGTATGACGGTATCAAGAGCTAGTAAGGATGTGAAGCAAATGGAATTCTTATTTACAATGGACAGGAAGGTAGGAATGGTACAATTATTTTGAAAAGAAGTTTGGCAATTTATTAAAAAGTTTAACATGTGCCTACCATATGACACAGCCATTTCGCTTCTATGTATTTGTTCAAAAGATATGAAAACATAAGTCTTCACAAAGACCTGTGCATAAATATTCATAGTAGCTTTGTTTATAATAGCCAAAACTAGATATAACCCAAATGTCCACCCATGTGTGAATGGATAAAAACAAGTTGCAGTAGAATAGTAGATTCATATAACAGGCTACTTACCAGCAATGAAAAGGAATAACCTACTGAGACATGAAGTAACATGGATGAACCTCAAAACATTATGCTGAATGAAAGAAGTCAGGCGAAACAGAGTACATTTGCATGACTCCATCTATGTAAAATTCTAGGAAAGGGACAGGAGGCAGATTAGTGGTCACCTGAGCATAGGAGGTAGGATAAGGAGGGATTGATTACAAAAAGAGCAAACTTTTGTGAATGATGAATTTGTTCACTATGTTGATCGTGGTGAGTTTCAGGGATGTACATATATGCCATCATTGTGCAAACTGTATGCTTTACATGTGTACAGTCTATAAAATATCAATAACACCTCAAAAAACTAAGAAAAATGGCAGAGTTTTCATAGTGAAAAAAGTAAAATTATTAAGGATAAGAAGCACATCTTCATATCAATTTACAGAAGTATGAAAAAAGACTTTCTGCAAACTGATAAACTAAAATTCTTTATAAGGCCATGACTCAAAATGACTAAAATCTCTCCTTCCCATTCAAAGGGAGTACAAAGAAGAAAAGAATATTGGCTTAAACACGAGTCACGTTCAGACCTTACTAGCAAGGCCATATATCTAGGCAGGTTTTAGGGCTACATTCTCAGCTGCTGAACTTGGAGGAAGCCAGTGCAGTTCACTGTTGCTTTATGAACTGGCATATCATACTACATGATTTAAAGCCTCCAGGAATACATCTAACTGGAAATGAAACTACAGATAATAAATAGTTCTAGGATAAGTTCCATTTATCAAATACCAAAGGAAATACCCACTGAAGTGTTTCAATGCAGTCTCCGCACAGCCCTTGGTTATACATTCATTAGAAGTCGCCTTAAAAAAGAAGTATCATGCTAATTGTTAGGCCTGCCTTTGATTAGTTCAGTAAAATAAACGAAGTAAGAGTGGAGCCAAGATAGCAAAAGAACAATTATTAGTCAAGCACCAGCAGGTATTCTAGGTACAGGGTCTGAGAAACTGTATTGTGGGTCTGGATAACTTCAGGCAATTCACTATTTTTGGAGCAAAGAGCAAGACAGACAGACTGGAACTACAAGACTGGACATCCCAGTGAAGGAGCCGTGCATGAGCCATGTTATTAGGGGCTGATAACTTTTAAAGTTATTTTGATAATTTACAAATTATCCTAAATGTAGATGCCTGTACAACTTCCTGTCCCCACTCCCATAACCGACCTCATTTTTAGATTATTCAGAAAACAATCTCTGTGTGCTTTTGTTGCTTTCTGAAACAGAATTAAGAGGTGAGACTCTTCTCAATTTCTATTTAGGTTAATGTTTCAAAAAATGAAACCTGACCTTCCTAAATTATTAACTCACTTAAGCCATTGCAGGGTTTGCTGACAAGTAGTTAAGCAAAATGGGGGCTCAAACCCATCAATACAAAGCTCCAGGGTCCTCTTTCTTGAAGTTTCAGTGCAACTGGGCCGCCCCTTCTCCACTGCTGACACACTCCTCGGTTTGCCCTTATGCCACCTGGGTTCCCTACCATGATACGGAGAAAAGGTCTTTCCATACTCTCAGGAAGTACAGTTCTGGAAATTGCCTTTGCACTGCTCCTTTAAAACTCTGCCTTGGAGAAGGCCACAAAACACAAGTCCCCACCCCTGAGTCAGAGCCTAGTGCAGCGCAGGAGAACAGGAGCAAGGAGAGGACTTGCTTTTTAAGAATCAGAACTAGTCTTAAATCCTGTCTAACTCTCACCATCAGTGTAACTTGGAACAATTTATTCAATGTTGCTTCAGCATTTTCCTCTGCAGAATGGGAATAAATACTTACCTAGCAGTACTATTAAAATTAAACAAAGTGATGCATGTAAAGCCTCTAGCATAGTTCTGAGGGCTCAAAATGCAAAGCTTTTGTATTCGGAGTGTTGCTCAGAAATAAGTGCTGCCCCGAAATGACCTGATGAAGACTTAAAACTTTTTTTTTCCTGACACAGGCTCTTATATAGAATCATACTCATAGTCAACAGAATCGCTGAAGGATAAACTATGGAATTCTTCATGTGAAAAAGACTATGTCCTCGTATATGATGTGAGACATATTAAAAGCGATATTTGGTGAAGTAGCATACTTTTGATCTTCTTGTCTCTAGTATAGGCAGGATGTATCTCAAATTTTATGGTGGTCAGGCCATAGATAAACTCAAATCACAGCTAAAATAAAATCAATACTTGTGGAACCAGCAGTCATTCTGCATGTTAAATTGAACGGTAATTTGGGTAATATGTGATTATTGACTATTCAGTGATAGGCTGACTCCTTTTTGCTGTGTAATTGTCCTTGGTAAAAGATTGCAATGCACCTGTGAAAATATAATGACTATTAAAAAATCAGAGTAAATAGCTACATGCTAAAAAAAGGTCTACTCTATTGATATTTCCACACTGTGAGTTCTACAACATGATATGTCCCTGTCATATAGCCTCTCAAATTAATCCCCTGGCCTTATCCTCCTGTAGCTGAAGCAAGGTTTGGCAAGAGGTTGTGTAAAGCTGAATTCCATTTTGAAGAGCCAGACCGGAGGAAGCATTTGGTATGGAAGGCAGGCACAGAAATGAGACAGAGACCCAACACTGGAAAAAAAAATGAGTACTCAACTAAGACTCATACCACAAAGGGTGCTACTCTAACAGGCAGTAACTTCTCATAGTTTTAAAAACAAGAACTGTGTGATATTTGATGTGTCTAAATTATTATATGTGTATTATTTTTATACTCTTGCTTACTCCTTGCAGAAGAAATGTTTTTTTTTTTTGTTTTTGAATTGGAGTCTCACTCTGTCACCCAGACTGGAGTGCAGTGGCTGCTCCCGGCCACCGCAGCCTCGACCTGCGGGGCTCCGGCGATCCTTCCGCCTCAGCTTTCTGAGAAGCTGGAACTACAGGTGTGCGCTACCACCCCTGGCTAATTTTTTGATTTGTTGTAGAGATGAGGCTTCACCAAGTTGCCCAGGTGGGTCTTGAACCCGCGGGCTCAGGCAATTCACTCACCTCTCTCCCAAGGCATGGGATTACAGGCTGAGCCACTGAACCTGGCGAAGAAATGTTTTCTAAATGCTACATGTAACTTTAACTAAATAACTTTGAATTAGGCTCACCTTGTCAGTCACCTTTAGCACCCACACAGTGTATGACAAATTTATCTATGGGCACCTGCCACAATGCTGCACTTGTTTTCTTTTGCTTTAAAAAGTTTTATTGGCATTGATCATAAAGAAGTGAATGCTATACAGACCTGAGTAGGTACTTTCTCGTGTATTTACTTGTGCAATATTAGATACGATTTTTGGAACTTTCGGATGCTCAGTATCTTTAACTGTAAAGAGAACACAGTCAATTCTTGATCATCTGGATAATGGGAGGCAGGGGTTAAGGTCACAGATACTCACGGCGAAACCCAAATTAGTTACTGTAAGACAATGACTGGTGGTCCCTTTGCTTGTTGAAATGAAACCCATTTGGATAACACAGAACTATGGACTGATTCATGCTGGAGAAAAGGGAAAAAGATGACCTTAGAAGTTAACAAAAGACAGCAAAGAAACTCTTGACTCTGCTTTCAGGATCTTCGGGGAGGAAGGGCAGTGAGGGCCACGGGACAGAAGCTCCACTAGAACAGAATCTTACCTTCTCTTGTCTATTTCCATTTGCCTAATAGCTGTAACAGTAGATGCATTCGGGAGGCACTCAAGTATGTGCTGAATGAACAGAAGGAAGAGAAGAAGTGGAGGGCAGGAGCTTTCCATCCTGTTGGACAAACGGATCCCCGGAAGAAAAGAGTTGCCCAATCTATCTGACTACCTCTGTGAATAACTGGGAATTGACAGAATGCTTTACATTGGAAAATTCTCTTGGATTTCCTTTGGAATATCCAGCAATCAAGAAGACAGTGTTCTCTTTCTTTACCTGGCCCATCCTCAACAGATACAAGGACGCTGCAATCACTGTTGCCATCTTGTGGTCATGTCTAGAAAGTTCGTTTTCCTCAATAGACCAGTACAGTCCCCCTACCTGCAAGAAAGGCTCTGGGAATGAGCTGTAAGAATTCACAGATAAGTAAATCTCTATTATTTAAGCTAACTATCAAAGTATCATGATGAACACAAAGACTAACCAGTCACCAGTTCCACCACCAAGGAGCTTGCAGTCTAGCAGGGAGGTATTCCCAAAAGATGCAACTACTTCTTCTTCCGCCTCTTTCTCCTCCTCCTCCCGTTATTATTATTATTATTATTATTTTGAAGTGGGGGTCTTACTCTGTCACGCAGCCTGGAGTACAGAGGCACAATCATGGCTCACCACAGCCTAGACCTCCTGGGTTCAGATGATCCTTCCACCTCAGTCTACTCAGGAGCTGGGAACACAGGCATGTGCCACCACTCCCAGCTAATTTTTTTGATTTTTTGTAGAGACAAGATTTTGCTATGCTGTCCAGGCTGTTCTTGAACTCCTGGGCTCATGCAACCCACCTGCTTCGGCTTCCAAAAGTGTTGGGATTACAGGTGTGAGACACCAAGCCCAGCCACTTATAATTATCAATAATACAAAACAAAAGGTAGAAAACGCCACGAAATAAGTATAGATTAGATACAATGGGGATTCACAGAAAGAAAAGATGCTTCCAAACTCTGGAGACGAGAAATTGAGAAAGAAGAGTCAACTGAACTCTCAGTTCTCCCTCAGTGGAGGGAGGTAAAGCTGGCCAGGTGGGGAATGTATTCCAGAGCAGGGAGTAGCAAGAACAGCACACACTAATGTAGGGGCATCAATTCCTCCTGTGTTTGGAGCTGATGGTGTCTTGAGGAAAGGAGTGGGAAGTGGGGTTGTAGAAAGCCGAGGCTGTCAGGGGGCCGCTGCTCTAGCAAGAGTAACAGGAGAGGAAAAGGCTCTTTGTGGGACAGGTCAGACTGAGTGAGTATGTGGAAGCAGTCTCTTTTGGTGACTACAGGTCAAGTGGACCAGCTCTGTGGTCTTAGTTTAAATGACTTACTTTTGTCAGCTTCAGTTTCTTTAGGGTTGTTGTGAGAAATAAATGACATTGTGTGTAAAGCATACACCATAGTGAGCAGCATGCAATAAGAACTTCACGAATGTTAAGCAACAGCCAATGATGTGAAGACTTTGAATGGAGCTTACTCAAGTCAATGGAGAACCGGGAAGGGCTTTGAAGAGCAAGGTAGGGACTAGGTAAAAGATGGCCTGCGGCAGAGACACAGGGTGTGGGGAGGAGCATGGAAGAGGGAACTGGGGGACCACTTGGAGAATGGACAGAAGAGGGATGCCAGCAGAAAGGTAGAAGAAGTGTCACTGAGTAGGAGGAAAGCCCGGACGCTCTAGGGACATGGAAGACAAAGGAAGAGAAGGTTTCAAGGAGGCAGCATCAAGGCAAGGACTAAGCCCCACTCCCTTTGGGTCTAGTGCCTTGTAGGGTTTAGTAATCGTGAAAAGAATGATTTCAGGGAAACCAGAATGGAAGTCTGAGGTTGAGGAAGGAGTCCCATATGAGAAACCTGGGGCGCGAAGTACACATTCCTCTTTGAAGAAATGGTATCAGCTAGGGGAAGGTATAGAAAGGAGAGAGTACCCTGTCACTGCTTAATTTTTTAAAAGATGGGAAGGATCAGGCGGAGAGGGAATGGCTGAGGGAGAAAGGACAATGGATTAGAGGGGACTGGACCCAGAACACAGAAGAGATACAGGACAGAGTACGTGCAGATGCTGAACCAAAGAACAAATAAGACACAGGAGGAGGATACAGCAATTAATTTTGCATCAAGGAGAAGGTGACACTGAGCCCAGTTTTCAAGGATGAGTAGGTATTGGCCCAGTGGACAAAAGAGGTAAGAACATTCCAGCAGAGGCTATGACATGAGCAAGTGCAGACTGATGTGCTTGAGGACTTGGGAGTTTGGTGCTAAGGAGTGTAAGGGGGGAGGAGAGAACATTCCCAAGACAGAGCTGGAGAGTACCCAGGGCCCAATCACAGCAGGTCCTGGATTCATACTGTCTTTTCAGGCTTCTTTATGGGAGCTACTTCTAGGTCACTCAGTAATGTCACTACCCCTGGTCATGCAGGTCCAATCAAAGAAAAGGCAAGGGGAGAGGATGCCTTCAAGGTTAGGGGTAGTAAGATGGGTACAGAGTGTGGCTGGTGGCAAGGAACATCCTAGAACACCAGCAGAAGCCAGCTGTTGTGGCACGGAGCAAGTGAGACCAGAGGGAATGACAGAGTGAGAGAAAATAAGGTGCAGAAAGCATAAATCACAGCAGGAGAGAAGAGGTCAGCAGGAGCAAGGATGGTAAAGGACGTGAGGCTGTGGTCGGCAGGGACTACTTTAGGGTTCAAATTCACAGGGGTGGGGCAGTGCCAAGCATTATGCAAATGTGAGTTATTTTTAGTAAGTACTGTAATTTCAGAGCATCTTGATTACGACTTTTGAATAGTCCTAATATTTTAGATTGCTCAACTGACATCCTTCAGGTAGTTAACACTAAAGGTACCCAAAGAGGTGTCAATCTGAATCCTTATTTTTTTTTTTTGAGTTGGAGTCTCACTCTGTTGCCCAGATTGGAGTGCAGTGGCACGCTCCCGGCCACCGCAGCCTCGATCTGCTGGGTTCTGGTGATCCTTCTGCCCAAGCCTTCCAAGTAGTCGGAACTACAGGCGCGCACTACCACGCCTGGCTAATTTTTGATTTATTGGAGAGACGAGGTCTTGCCAAGTTGCCCGGTTGGGTCTCGAACCCGTGGGCTCAGGCAATCCACTCGCCTTGGCCTCCCAAAGTGCTGGGATTACAGGCTGAGTCACCGAGCCTGGCCTTTTAAAAAAAATAGTGAATTATTGGGTGATGTGAATAATTACTCCCTTAATTTATATGTTTTGCAGATTCCAATTAATTCAGAGTCTGGCAGGTGAGATCTCTCCTTACCTTACAGAAGTTATTAATACTCAGTCATCTTTTATTTATCTGGTGATGTCAAAGATCTAAAACATAGGAAGAAAAAATAGAAAGGAGGAACAGAGACAAAGCAGATGCTCCAAACCCACACATCATGCACTTTATATCAAGGTAGGTGTCATGTGCCCTCACTCAGTGCCACTCTTTCAAGGCAAAATGATAGCAAGTTGGGCTACTAGGACTTTCAATGCAGGAAAGACTAGCAGCCCCAGGTGTCAAAGGCAAATGTCATAAGGGCAACAAAAGACAGCTGCTAAGATGGGAAAATATATAAAAAAGACAAATATAAACATGAGAAATAAAAAAGTGTAGACAGAGGCAAGGTTGCTGTGAGTGGCCCATGGTGAGGAAGGTTAAGGAAATGGGCATTCCCAGATCCTACTAGTGACTGGAGTCTTCCCTAGCGGTCAAATGGGCCACGCAGTTGCCAAGACAAAGAAAAAGTGAGCATTTATCTTTCTGCCCACTCCTTTTACATCTAAGGATTTAACTGAAGAAAAAAACCTGAAATGCACATAAAGATTCATGAACAAGCCCATGCATCACTACATTATTTAAAGACTGGACTAGAAACAACCTACACAGTCAACAACCAGGGGGGAAGCCTAAGTAAACTGTGGTGCTTATTCACAAGTGGTCTACCTTTTGAGGAATACACGGAAGTAACATACAAGTACATGGGGGTTTTTAAAAAGCAGGATACAAAACAAAGAAGATCCCGATTCAATTTTTTAAAGTATTATACAGTTTTAAAGAAGAAAATTCCAAAAGAAAATATTAGTACTTAACATTTTCTATGATGGGAACACTAATACTACACCAGAAACAAGGTACTATATATTTGCTATATTCATGTCAATGATATCCTGATTGCATAAGGTACTTAACTCAGTATTTAATTTTTCCACATTCAATCTTTCCAACTTTTCTTTCTAGCAGACTATCACATGTTTGGAGGGAAAAAGCAGAATCTGATCCTTGCAGAACATACAGGGGCTATCAGAACATGCCAAAAATACTACAGGGATGCAATTAACGAAACCCAGGCTTATGGGAACAAGAAACAAAAACAGGACAGAAACAGAAACAAAAACCAAAACACCTCATTTTTTCGACAAATAAATTTTAAGGGGGGAGGAGAGAAGGGGTAACCTGTGGGTCAAAAAAGACTTAAGAGACATAACAACTAAAGTACATTTGGATCATGCAAATTGTTAAAAAAAATTAGGAGACAACTGTAGAGATCTGAACACTAACTAGACATTTGGTGATATTAAGAAATTATTGTTCTTTTGGGATGTGATAATATCATTATACCTTTAAAAAGAGTCTCTACTTTTTTGGAAATACCAAAAAACATACTAACGACGTAAAATCACTTTACACCCAAATAGTCTGCAGAAGAGGGGAGGTGATGCGTGGGCAGGGGACAGAGGAAGTAGTGCTAACTGTGGAAACTATAATGAGTCTGAGGACTCGTTCTCTTGTTCTCTCTCCTTTTGTATGTCTTTAAAATATTCTGTAATAAAAGGTTAAACAGTAAACCTACATGTGCATGTACTACAAATCCTGTGAGTGCTAATAAAAACTGGCACACAGGGACAAAGTCAGAAATGACTTACATACGGTTTATGGTGCTTACAAATTCTGTGAACTGATCATTTCTGCACCCTTGACCCTGCCACAAAGGCCAGAGAACAATCAACTGATACTCTACTGAAGCTAAATAGTCATTTCTTTAGAGTTCAAGACTGATGTACGAGTAACACAGTAACAATTATCTTTAGTAGTCATAGCTTTTCAATATTTAAATTATTTTTTAGAAATAAACATTCTTGTAGAGGGCATTTAACTGTTAGGCTGTCAAGCAATTATGTAGCAAACAATGGAGGGGTAATTTTTCACTGTAATATGGGTGAAGAATGAGCATAGCAAGATTAAGGAGCTGTGTCAGGCCATCAAACGGCAGAATATGGTGGCTTGTGGGGGCAGTGGGTGCACTACAGTGTGAGGGACCTGCCTCAAGGATCAGGCAGACTGAGCACCCAGGAAAGCATCTGCTGGACTTGGCAATGGGGTGTGTGCATGTGTTTGTGTGTGTGTGTACACATCTGCACACGTGTGGCAGGGGGCCGTCAATGGGACATTCGTCAAAGTCCCTTCAGTGAAGTGGTGAGACAGGAGTCCTAATTTGGGAAAGGAGGCGAAGATGTGAAGTCCTGCAGGAGAAAGAGGATGGAGATGGCAGAGTCAAGTGAAGGCTTTAAACCTTTTTGGCCTGGAGAACCTTGACCATCTCTGCTGGCTGGAGGGAATTAGCCAGTGAGGCAGAACACAAACCCATATTCACCGGGACAAGAAGCCTTGGGCAGGAGAGCAGAGCTTCTCCACAGCCAAGAAAAGTAGAGGCTGAAGTGCAAATAAGCACTGGTTGCACATAACGCATTGTTGATAGTGCATATCTGACAGACTCAGTTTTCTCAGTGAACTTATGAGAAAAAATAGCATTTATTAAAAATTGTGCATTCTTACAAGTTTCAACTTCAGTCACCTTTAACGTACTCTCTGTTCGATGCAATACACCTATTGAGAAGCTTTTCCCACTGCTCAAAACAGTTTTTGAACTCGTCAATTTAAGTGTCTCTTAGTGCTTCTGTTTTCTTGTTTCACCTCTTCAACATCCACAAGATGTTTCCCTTTGATCACTTTTTTCATCAGGGAACCAAAGAAAAAGTCACTGAGGGCGAGAGCGGGTGAGCAGGGTGGGTGGGGCACGGGGGTCACGCCGTTTTCGGTCAAAAACTGCTGAATACTCGGCGTGGTGTGGGCAGGTGTGCTCGTCCGTCACTCATCGCGAAATGGGCAAACACGTTGAAAGGATCTCCAGAAAAAATCCACTGAAACGGAATGCAGCCTCTTGCAACAACGCGATCTGGTACACTGATGCTGATGGGTTCCTACAAAACGTACCTAGAGGGGGAATCCTCTACTGCAAGGGCCTGCCCTCCCAAAGATAATTCCAGGTTTCTGGGGGGTTCCCCCTCGGACGTTATACTCTAAGAAAAATCCTTCTGTATGAA